GACCTGCAGTGTATTCCTTCAACTTCTTTATTACGAAAAGTCCATGTAAGGTCAAACCATGGAGCGTTTCACCGACGTCCTCCTGAAACACTGAAGCATCACACACACAACAAGAACGCCGCTGATTCTTGTCTCAGCTGCTAAGGCCAGAATCCATCAGTGGTTCTGCAGTGACCTTGAGGACACGTGCTGGAAGACGGTTTTACCAAATCGTGCCGTTCTCGTGAACTTTGCAGTCTCAGAGGATTTGAGACATTCTTTCTGAGCTGCGAGGACACTGTGGACATTTCAATGAGCAGCTCACGTGTTCAGGTTGAGCTGAGTTAGAAGGAAAGCTTAACTGGGTTTGGTATCTCCTGCATGTTTTTTTAAGTGGTTTCACAGTGAAATCTGGTACTGAACTGGTCCAGTTAAGCCCCAGTGAAGTCCTCCTTAAACATGGAAATCATGAAGGAAACTAGCTTTTTGTAGTAATAATGAAAATTTGTTGTTGTTGTTGAAATTAACAGGATTCTCTTGTGTTAAAGTTCCTTTATTGGGACCAGTGCAGAGGAAAGATTGATCACTGCTGCTGGTTTGATTTTCTCACTGAAAAAAAATTTAAATTTCACATTTATTTATTTATTCATTTCATTTCCAATAAAAACACAAATACAATTTTAAAAAAATTAAAGAAAAACAAATATAAAATGGAATGAAGCAGAAAAAGAAAATTTCTTATCATATCTGCTCCCTCATTAACAAAATCAATTCAAACCATCAATTTAAACATAAACATTCATATATAATACAGCAAAATACACAACTCATCAAAATGTCATACTTAACAAAATAGACATCAGTAATATATATTGTTCCAACAAAATAGTTTTTATCTTTTTCTTAAATATGAACATTGACTTCACCATTTTAGCGTCATCTTCCAAACCATTCCACAGACTCATTCCCTGTATAGTAGTAGACCGACCCTTTAAACTGGTTCTATACTGGGTTTAACAAAAATATCTATGCCCTTCAAATTATAACAACTCTTCCTTTTTACAAAATATGTTTGAATGTTTGATGGTAGCATGCAATTCTGAGCTTTAAACATGAATAAAAGAATATTATAATCCACCAAATCATAAAACTTAAGTAGTTTCAATGGACAAAACAGAACATTAGAAGGGTGACAATAACACTTTTTTGTTATAATTTTTACAGCTCTTTTTTGCAGAATAAAAATAGGCTTTGTTATGGTTTTACATGCTGTACCCCAAACAGTGACACAATAAATTAAATGCGGGACTACAAGTGTATTATATAGCAAATATAAAGCATCGTTGTTTAATAAGTCCCTTACTCTGTATAATACTGCATTTGACTTAGATATTTTAATTTTTACAAGATTTATATGCTGTTTCCATGACAGTTTATCGTCAATAATTACACCCAGAAACTTTACTTCATTCACTCTACATATCTCAGTACCATAAATTTTGAGAGAAAAATCCAAAGTTATCTTTTTTTTTTTTTACTAAATATCATAAAATTAGTTTTATCAACATTTATTGATAACTTATTTAATTTAAACCAATCTTGTATTTTAACAATCTCTTTGTTTATCAACTCAAACATCTGTTCCATATTTTTACACAAACAGAAAAACGTATCGTCAGCAAATAAAACACATTTGAGGATGTCAGATACTTCAATTAAATCATTTACATATAAAATAAACAATTTAGGTCCAAGTACTGAACCTTGTGGTACTCCACATAAAGTTCTGCATAAATTAGATCTTACATCATCCATCTGAACAAACTGCTTTCTATCCCTCAAATAACTGCTTATCCACTGTAAAGCAAGACCTCTAACACCATACTGATTTAATTTATCAAGCAGAATGGTGGGATCAATAGTGTCAAATGCCTTTTTTAAATCCACCAATATACTTATACAATGTTGTTTTTTATCAATCGCTGTAATAATTTGTTCAATCAACTCCATAAGAGCTAGGGATGTTGAACAATTTGATCTAAAACCATATTGACTATTACTTAAAATATTATTTTTTTCAAGAAATTTATCTAATCTGGTCATAAACATTGAACATAAACATTGATAACATTGAACTGCAGTTGTTTGATGTTTTTATGCAACAAGCAAAAAAAAAAATAAAATAAAAAGAAAGAAAAAAGAAAGAGTTTCAAAAATTTAGCTAAAAGACAAAAGCATCAAAAACCTGAGTAGAAGGAAAACATCAAAGCTAAAATAATAAAGTAAAATAAAATAAAAAATCAAACGGCCAGCAAATAGCTAAAAGATTGAAATGGCTAGCTACAATCTAGGAGTAGGAAAACCCTGGACAGAAGCTAAAACTAGCAGAACAGTAGTTACAAGTAGGTAAAACTTGCAAAAGACTAGCTAAAAGCTATAGCAGAACCATCGATGAAAGATAAAGCAGCAAAAATAATAGTTTAAAGCTAATGGCAGCAGATCCCTGTCTAAAAACTCAAATTTGTATAAAAAAACAAGCAAATAACCAAAAACAGAGTTGCAGAAGCAGAGGAGGAGGACAGCGTTTTACACAGAAATCTCAATGTTTTTTGTAATTAATTGTAAATAAAGTTAGATATTAGGAAATGTATTATTTCTGCTGCTCCTTCTTCAGGAGTCGCCACAGCGAACTAACGTGCACAAAGACTTGAGGATTGTTTTTACACCAGATGCTTTTCCTGGCGCAGCCCCAGACCACCGAGCTACCACAGCCCTCTGTGTGGAGCCGAGAGCTGCCGTGTGCCAGGGGAGCAGATGGTGGGGGTTCAGGGCCTTGCTCAAGGGCCCAGAGTGGAGCAAAAGAGGGTGGAGGCAGGTGTGGGTGCTTCACCTTTCTCACCCACATTTTGAAGTTGTCGGTCCGGGGAGTTGAACCGGCAACCTCCCGATCACAGGCCCACCTGAACCTGCCACCACTCCCCTAAATATTAGGAAATACATAAAAAACACAAAAAACAAAAATCATAGCAGCATGAGCTGAACATTTTGATGCAAGATCAGCTAAAATAACACAAAATGTGCAAAAACATACTGATATGGAAAAAAAACAACAATGTGAGGCTGAACACACGCAGTAAAACAATAAAAGAACTGTTCGAGACCGTTTTATAAGTTTTCCATTAATTTTAATAATCTTAAGACAAGATTAAAGAAAACCAACAAGGTTTAACTTGAAAGGTAGAAATGGAGCATAGAGAGAATTAAAATCTAGAAACAAGCAGTCAGAGGCTGACTTTATTATTATTTATTTTATTAGGCTTTGGATAAGGGTTACTGTTGTCCTCTCTCATTAAAGGAGACGTGCCCCCCCACTCCCACCCCCAGGTAACCATCTGTTCTAAAGTCTACTCCCTGGCCCGCTCAGAAACACCTCCTGTCACCTCCGGAGCTTCGTCCTGAGACCTGTCGGCATCCTCCAGAGGAGGAGAAGCTGCATTTCATCACTTTATCCACAAATGACCTCATGTTAGGGAGTTTGTAAATACCCACCTTTTGATTTTTGTAGAATATAAGTACCACAACATACATTTCTCTTATAACACAAAGCAAACATGGGCTTTCTCTCTGCAGACTGAGCTTCATGCAACACCATGTCACCGTGAGGACAAACAGCTGCTCTCTGATCAAACGTTAGAAACAAGAATATCTAAAACTGATTCTATCAACAGGTTTGTAAAAGAAAAACGAGTGCCACTTCAAACATGCACTTTTTTTTCTTTTTCTTAGCTTTTCATAGAAACTACTTTAATACAAAATCTGGATTGATCTGGACTAATCTCCTGCAGGCCTGAAACACCTGAATGAACGGAGTTAAACTCATTAAATGACACGAATAAACAAAACTTTATTTATCTTATGCAATGAAATGAAGGTCAAAGTAAACTAAAAATCAAATTATATATATATATATTTTCTTCCCCCCACTACAATGACATAAACATTTTAGAACTACAAAGCTTTAATTGACTGCTTTTGTCCTTATGAGTAAAATGGTTCAAAGGTTGAGTCCAGTAACTAGTTAGTTTTTTACTGGTAAAATGTTCATTATTGTAAAAACATCACAGCCAATTTTTAAAAACTTATCAATAGTTTATTAAAAACAAAGATCATTCAAAGCAAAATATACATAGAGATATTTGTGGGACACATTATTGACAGTTCTATAAATGTTTAAATTCATTATTATTATTTCTACAAATACAGTAGTGTTTCCACAGAACATCTCACAGAGTTATCAGACAGGAAAACCTGCCCTCAAGTGGCAAATTGAAAGAATGCTCAGAGAATAAAACCCAAAACTATCGGATGTGGTTAAAAAAGAAAAAAGAAAAGTGTTTAAATGTAAAACAAAACATAATTATTTTGTCCATTTATAAGCTTTGTTGCTTTCTTCTTATTTTGTTCTTATATTTAATACACCTATTATTATTATTATTATTAATATCCTGATGCATGCTCAATAATCCAGGTAGAAAAATCTAAAAAAGTTAAATCTGGTCCTCTGGACATTCAAAAAAAGAAAGAAACAAAAACAAAGCAAAACAACCAAAAAAGACGAAAAGTTTCTACATTTTTTTATTGTTTTTTTGCTGTTGTTTTTTTTAAATGTCCAGAGGACCAGATGTAACTTTTTTAGATATTATTATTAATATTATTTTTGTTATTATTAGTACAACATGAAGCTGCACTTGGCCTCGTTTCAGATAAACAAAACGATAAATAAATAAATAACCATGCAAAGCCACCTCCCCTCTCGTTACCATAACAACGGACCAGCGGAGTTAGAGGGACGCCTCGCGCAACTTGTGATTGGTCAGATCGTGCTCTCAGCCTTCGTTTCTCATTGGTCACATCTGCAGTCGCTTTAAAAACACCGTAACCTGATTGGCTATCGTCTTCGGTTGTGCCCCGCCCTCCGCAAAAGTAAGCTGTTTTTTTCCAGCAGCACTGACTCTACTCAAGTCTGGAACAGCGAAGAAGGTTGTATCAAAGCGGAGATTTCCTCTTTGTTAAAACAAATACAGGCCGTATTTTAAATGTTTGAGCGCTTTTACAACTATTAAAAGTAGCTGAACAAGTTGAAAGGGATGTAGGGACCTTAACCGCCGGTGTTTGTTGTTTTACGATGGAGGAACCTGCTGCTACAAGGCAAGTGCTCGCCGCCTGTTAGCTAGCTTAAAGTTCCAGTTTAGGTTGAACGTTACTGGCAGTAAAAGCTGTTTGTTTTAGACTTTGAACGTGATTAAAATCATGTATGTAAATACTGGTTCTAATGGATGTGGTGTGACTTCCACAGAGGGTTAGACTCGTCGCTGTCAGACGGGGCTTCGGATGACGACATGCCCCTAATGCTGCCCACAGACAGCGGCGGGAGCGTCCGCAAGGTGAGCCGGGGTCTAACCCCCACACAGCCGGTCATAGTCTGCCCCATAAAAGCCTGTTTCACTCCTTTAGGAACGGATGGCAATCTCAGGGACTTAAAAAAATATAAACCGTTTTCTTATCTCATTTTTGGCTCTTTACTGGGCAGTTTGGCTTCATGTTTAGATTTATGTTCCTCCTGAAACTTTGGTTTGTTTCTTCCCCTTTTCAGTATCAGTTTGTTCATTCAGAGCAACTGTTAGTTAAAATTAATTTGACAAGAACGGCACAGAAACACATTTACAGTTGTGCAGTTTGCACATCGCTTGGCTTGGCTGGGCTTTTTAAATTTTAATAAACAATAATAAAACTAGACATTTTGTAATTAAAGACATTAAATTGATATGAAGAACAGGAGAAGAGCAGGAACTGGTTAAAGGATAAAACATCCATTTACACCTGAATTCATCAGTGTTGACAGAATATAATGTTTATCTCCACAGCAGCGTCAAATAATCGATTTAGGAAGTGACTGGAGTTTTTATAATTCCACTCTTTGGGAACTTTGGGTGGAAATCCATTTCAAGAAGGCCACCACAGATAATCTACATTAGTCGACACAAAAATGACTATAACTCTCGACAGTTTTACACATCTCCATCTTCTACCACTTATCCATGGTCAAACTGTGGAGACAGACTCTCCAGCTCCTGGAAACCCCAAGCGTTCCCAGACCAGATAGGAAGTATAATCCCCCCAGAGAGTTCTAGGTCTGCCCTGGGGCCTATTCCCAGTGGCTGGAAAATCTCTAAAGGGAAGCATCCTAATCCGATGAACTACCTCAGCTGACTCCTTTTAATGAGGAGGAGCAGCAACTCTACTACAGGCTGTTCCTCACGGCTGAGCCCGGCCACCCTACGGAGGGAGCTCATTCTCGTTTAGGCCTCTTGCATCCAGGATTCGTCATGACCACGTGTGACGATTGGAACATAGACCAGTAAATCCAGTTTTACACCTTTTGAGCTAAAATTGGATGTGGTAGCAGCAGAGATCAAGAGTAGCATGCGTGATAATATTTTCAATGTTTCACCAAAACAGCGACAGTATTTCTCAACATAAGTTGAGTCTAAAAGTCTGACAAAAGGAGAAAATACAGGAATGGCCTTTGCTCTTAAATTAAACTTTATTCACATTCATGTTTGGCAAACAGCAGTTTATACTTGAGAAGATGGATGAAATTTGTGACTAGACATTATTTATTACAAATAGAGGAATTACTTATTTTTTATTTATTTATTTTTTTAACTAGATCCAACTTGAAGCAATGGTGGGCGTGTTTTCAAAGTTTAACCAGTTGCGTCATCTTGCTGCTGGTCATTTAAAGTGTTTTATCTGGGCTTTACTTCAATTTAAGAGGAAAACTCTACATTTTGAACCAGATGTGTTGCTGTGGTTCATCTTTTCTGTTCTTCTGTCCATGTGATGAATGAACAGATGTGGGCGCTGGGCCAGAATCTTAATCCATGCAGTCATTTAAAGGATAACTTTAAATCAGGTGTAACAAAGTGTTCAAGTGTAACAACACGCTCACAGAGGGAATGGGAAGGAGGGGAAACTAAAGACAACAACTTTTTGGCAAATGGCTCGCTGAAATGAGTTTTAAGAAGCCAAAAAAATCATCAACTCAATTCAGTTTATTTCTATAGCGCCAAATCACAACAAAGTCGTCTCAGGGCACTTTACAGAAACATTCACATACATAAAAGCCAATTAGTAAAGTTCTCTATCTAAGGAGAATCACTAACGTCTTCAGGCCCTAACATCATTCTGTCTTTAGAGACGTTTGTCATGCTGAACCAAACAAATATCTACAAAAAAAACAACCTCGATTATCAAGAATTTCACAACAGTTTGAGTTTATTATGAATCGTTTGGAGAATCAGATGCGTATAAATGCACGTCACAAAGGTGATATTATTTTAGCCAAAACGTTTCATAAATGTCTGGATAGATCTGAATTAAACCTCAAGGACGTAATCCTTCGAAGTTCATCCATGTCTCATTAACCTTTGGAGTTAACTCAATTTAAGATGGCTGCCACAGCCAATCGATGCTGAAAGACAAACAAATGGCTGCCACTCATTTTACAGATCTTGAGCTTAAATCCAGTGTGGTAGTAGCTGACACTGACCTCCACCTCCTGTTCTGAGTGCTATCAGGTTGCACAACATCTTTGTTTTACCATTTTGCCTTTAACTTGGAGTCAACTCTGTCCATTGGCAAAATAACTTGTGGACCACTAAGCAAGTTTTAAAGAATCTTAAACAAACATGCCAAAATAAATGCAAACTGGCATTTGAAAACCTTGAGGTGCTTTTAGAAAATAAGAAATCCCTCTCATGTCTCTGTGGAGGTCGAAGACGTAAAACAGAAGTCTGCTGGAGGTCATCGGCTGTAGAAAATGTAATCTCGAGTTGTGTTTCTCTGGTTTCCGCCGCAGGGTTGCGATCCTTTCGCTCAGACTCAGCGCAGCAAACTGCAGCACCGCCGCGCTCGCATCAACCAGCAGATCAACAAGGAGATGCGCATGAGAGCCGGAGCTGAAAACCTGTTCAGGTGAGCTGCTGGAACCCGTCAGACTCGTGACGTTTCATCAGACTATTCAGTTGCATGGAATTACTCAATCCTAGTTTCAGTTTAGTATCATCTAGAATGTAAGTTGCGCAAACTTGGGAACATCTGGTCCTCGTTTGTGGACAGGATCTCAAGGTGCAGTTGTGGAGAGGACGGTTTGGGGCCCTCAGAGTCTCACCTCTGTTCTGTTGGCGTCTTTAAGTCGTGACCTTCAGTGCTGGGGCTCTTTACAGCTGGGATGAGAGTCAGCTCCTCCAACTGAGCTCATGGTTCTTAACTGGAAGAGGGTGGGATGCTCCCTCTGGGGTCGGCTGTGAGTCTTGCTCATGAGTAATGGGAGGATGGAGTGGGAGGTGAGCCACTTTCTCAGTAATGAGGGCGTTGCTCCAGTTTGTCCTGGTGAAGGAGTTGAGCTGAAAGGTGAAGCTCTATAGTCGAGTTCTGGATTATGAGCGAAGAATGAGATCCTGGATCCAAGCGATGGAAATGGGTTTCCTCTGGAGGTTTCTGAGACCTTGGTGCAGACCCAGAGAGATTAGTATCCTCTTTTTCCTGAGAACACCTTGGGATCCCTCAGGAGGAATAGCGTTGATCAGAGATGACGTCATGGAAATTGTGAGGAATATCCAAAGTCCCGGATGTCAGACAGTCAACGCAGCAGACCGCATGTATAATGGCTACCTCCAATGCTTTAGTTCATGTAACTTAAACAAGGACTACACTCAAACTTGACTTGGAATATATTGAAGGATACAGCAATAAACAGCTCAAGCGTTGGCTACAATGCAGGGGACTAGCAGTGTCTGGCAACTAGGGGTTGAACGACTACATACTTTTTAAAATCGACTTGAACATGATACAAGTCGAGTCGACGTTGACCAGTCGATGTGACGTCGTAGGACCTCAAGATGCTATTCACGCCAAGTCACAACAGAAGTCATCTCAGGGCACTGAACAGAAATTCTTATATAAAAATAATTTAACAGAACAAGAATTATTTGTGACGTTCCTGGTGATTTTCGTGCTGATTTCTTTTGATGTTTTTGTCTCGGTGAAAAAGAGCACGTGTGACAGAAGACCGTTCAGGACGCATGCTATTGATTCATTATAATCACAGGTTTTCAGCAGCAGGAAGAAGATGCTGCTTCTATTTATCTTTGTTAGCCGCTAGCTGTTAGAAATCAGTTCTTTTACTCTTTTTCATGTAAAAAAAATCAGTAAGTCCCAAGTTGTTTTTTTACTACAATCAAGTTTTGGTTTGGAAACAGAAATGGAATTTAAGTTTTTTTCCATTGTTTGGCTAGTTTTAGATATGAACCACTTGCTTTCAAACTACTCCAGGTAGAAAATGCCAGGATGGTGATGGTCTTTTTTTAGGATCTCTAGTGTTTTCAAAATATTATCCTGCCCCTTGGTCTAATACGCTTTGTGCTCAATTACAAACATTGGTTGAATTAAACATCTAAAGAGACAAATTAGCGTGGACGATTTGTAAAAAGACGTTCAGTGCTCCTGTTAGTTCTGATACGAAAGGAACCGGCGTAATGGATGGATACACCTTTTCAGGGATTGTTGCTGGTATAGGATCAGGGTGCTCCTCTGTCGGCCCTCCAACAAACTGTTTCGAATAGATGTATACTCCTGTTTACGTTTGTTTGGTTGAAGCCAACTCGGCCACAGAGTCAAGTCCAATGATCACATTTCCCCCCCTGAGTAATCTGTTAAACCATATACCTTGCATATGAGTCTTAGCATAGTGGCCGTCACATTGCAAGTCCCTGTGCAGCAAAGCTTCTTGCATATCTTTTTTTTTTTATCAATGCAAACCACAATTACAGCTACTGTATTGTACTCAAAGTTCTGTTTGCCTGACATCTGGGTACCTGCTGATGGTGCAGCGTAGGGAGCTGTTTTTAGTAACCCTGACTAGAACTATTGGAGATTGCTGCTAGGGAAGAGGAGGTCTGAGTTTCCCTCCTGAACCTGTCACATCCGTGACCTGACCACAGGTAAGCTGCAAAACATGGATGTGTGGATATCCGTGTTTATCAGCGATAGGCTTTTATATTATGGGACATCTGTTTCTTTCATTATATCCTGATGCATGCTCAATAATCCAGGTAGAAAAATCTAAAGAAGTTAAATCTGGTCCTCTGGACATTCAAAAAAACAAAACAAATAGTAGAAACGTTTCGTCTTTCATCCGAAACACTTCCTCAGTCTGAGGTGCTGTATTCAGCTCAGTCTTATAAATAGCACCTTCTCGTAGTGGAGCAACCAGTTTTGCTGCTGACAACCAGAACCAGCTGCTCTCATTAGTTTTTTTACACTCATCCTGAACAGTAAATGTACACGTCATAGTTTGACAGAGTCAACATAAACAGATCTGCGCTGGCTTTGTAAAAGTATCCCAGCACTGTTTAATGAGCACGGAAGAGTTTTATGTATGGTTGAAGTAATGAATAAACTGCAGGGGCATAAAAACATCCTTTCTTCATCTTTGTTTATCCCAATCTCACCCTGCAAGTCTTTCTAAAAGCAAACTAATGCACAGTTTCTAAGTTTTCAGATGTCTGCGTACTTTTTGACTTTACTCGTGGCTCTGTTGAGAACATGAAGCGGTACCATACTCCCTGAAAACACTTTAGGGGGCTGCTGCCTTACTGATAAACACTCGGCTTTGAGGAGGAGGAGGAGCGACTTAATTAAAGCAAGGCGCTCCTCTCTGCCTCCCTAGTCGTGCCTCTGAATCTAATAGGTTCAACAAAGAAAGCAAAAGGGTCTTTGATTTAAGGCTCATTCTCTAATATTCCTGATTTGTTCTAACATTTATCTTTTCCAAATGTAAATGAAAGGGCGACGGGCTACGAAAGGATTACAGCCAATATTTTTAATCTCTCGTTTTGTTGTGTAATGCACGTTTTTTTTTTTTTTGAGTAATGGATCAAAATCTGTTATAGTAGTTTTACGAGTAACAAAAGATGCAGGATGCTGATGCAGTTAGAGCTAGCACGAGTTTGATCGTCTGCTACGTCATCTGTTTGATCGTTACGTAAATTCTTTAATGTTGGACCACTTGCAGATCAGTTTTGTTACCGTGTGGGCACTGCTGACCAAAAGTGCATCAGAGAGTGGCACCAAAGACCCGTTTGTCAAACAACAAGCAGAAGAACTACAAAGCACCAGGATTTTATACAGTTGTCCCTCACTTATCGCGGGGGTTACGTTCCAGACTCCAGCGATAGGTGAAACTCAGCGAAGTAGGAACATTATACAGTATATATATATGGCTTTATAAACCCTTCCCACGCTCTTGCAATGTTCTTAACAATGTTCTAAATGCTCTAAATGTTTTAAACGCTCCAAAAAAAAAAGAGCACAGCAAAAGAGAACAGACGGACTGATGCTACGGTTACTGAGCCAATCAACGAGCAGAGGCGGGACTGGCCATCAGGAGCACCGGGACATTTTCTGGTTTTAGAAATGTCCCAGCTCGGTTTGGCTCGGGTCGGCTCAGTTTGGGTTGCTCTTGATTATTTAAAATGAACAATCCATGCCGCTCATTCTGGTATCTGCCTCACTGAAGCTCACACAGCAGCGATGGGGAAAGACAGACCCCACCCCGCCCCCTCCTTTCTCTTTCTGAGGCTGTCTGTCACAGGTTGTGCACCCACCTGTTTTGGTTTTCTGCTCTGCTGTGACGGACATCCTCAGAAAGAGAAAGGAAGGGGCCCCTCAGCGATCACGGAGCGGGCCAGGCCACCAGGATGCGTACAATCTTACGTTGAAAACATGTTAAAGAGTGAGTCTGCCAAAGTCAGACCACAAAGTATCGAGGGACTACTGTATAACCACATTCTGGACGACAAGCTGAGCTCGTTCCTGGCGCAGGTTGAACTCCATCTCAAGACGTAGTCATGCAGAGGAAGATGTTTGGTTTGAGGCCGTCAAGGTCTCAAATCCTTATTTTTGCTGATGATGTGTTCCTGGAATATCTTACAAAAAGACTTGAAGCTCTCGACCTCTAAGTGGCTTTAAGAATCTGTTGGACTCCTGGCAAGGACTAATGCAGACATGTTCCTGTTTTTAGTTTTCTACATTTGCCTTATGATCTGTTTTTGTTACTGTTTTTTGCAATCTTATTTGTAAAAAAAAAAAAAAAAAAAAAAATCTGTACGCCTCTTTTATAACTGTCCATTGTTGTCATCATTCTTTGTTGAAATCAGGTCTCTCTTGTAAATGAGTCCTCGAGGCTCAATGGGATTTACCGTCTAAAGAAAGGTTGAATGAATGCAGTGGGCTGTTTGTGAAAAGACCGGGATGAACGTCGGCTCTTCTAAGTTTAAGGTCGGGCTTATCGATTGGAGAAAGGTAGAATGCTCCCTCTGTGTTGGAGGTGGATCTGGATGTCTTGTTTATGAGTGATGGTAGGATGGTGTGGGAGGTGGACCAACAGATACGGGCTTTGTAGGCAGTAATGAGGCTGGCCGGGCTGAGGTGGGGTTAGGAGCTCCATCATCTGGGGGAAGCTTGGAGCAGAGCTGCTGCTCCCTCAGGAGGTTTTCCAGGGACAGTTCTCTGGGAGGAGACCCCAGCACATGCTGGAGGAGATGTTTATCCTCTCTGGGTTGAACACACCTTGGGATCCCCCTGGAAGACCTGGACAGTGTCTCTGTGGGGAGACGGGGATGTCTAGGTTTCCCTCCTGGTCCTGTTGCCTCTTAATCTGATCTCAGATGGAAGACAACCCATGCTCTGAAATCATATTCCCAATAATCTCGTCACAGTTTATCATTTCACTCCAACACCAACAAGTGACTTTAGATGAGGGAACGATGATTCTTCATTAGAGAAGTGTGTGCTGCTGAAAGACAGCCTGAATAAAACACATCGTTATGTTGAAGGAAAGTACATTTTTGGACGTGTTGAACATGCAACTTGCACAATATTTATTGTTTAACAAGCACAAAATCTTTCAAGAGCCTTTTTTTATTTGGATTCTTTTGACCCAGCTCAGTTTTTGACCCAATTCATGCTGTTTTCCTGGAATGAGATACAGTAACTGAATTTAGTGTAGATTAAAAAAATCAGCCTTGTTCTGTTTAATGGGACACTGGAGACAAAAAGACCCCCCCCCCCCCACACACACACACCGGCGGCCTGTAATCAGCCGGCTTTGTGTCCGCCTCCCGTACCGTTCCCATGCTGAGTTTCCCAGTGGAGCTCCAACAACCTCTTCCCCCACTGATTTGTCTGGCAAGTTTTTTTTCTGCCCTCCCCCTCCCCATTGAGTTGGAACAGTCCGCATAAACACAGAAAATGTCCAACTTTTATTTTCCCCTCAAAACTTGTGTGAAACGGGGTTGTTTTAATGAGCGGCGGTCTGCGGGGGAAGTTTGAGGCTTTAAAATGCTGGAGACAAAAAAAGGTTTTGTTTGTCAGAGTCTGATGGAGACGTGTTTGTGCTGCTTGTTTCTGTTTTATAGCAACAGCCGGCATACAGAAAATGGTACGAGCTGTCTAGAAGATACTCCAAGTTAATATAAAATTTAGTTTTTTAGCTCGTGTCGGCTTCATGGTTAAGAAAGAGTCGTTTTCCCTGAAAAGCTGCAGCATGCTGTGTGTGTGTATGACTAAAGCTGACTAATCAGATTGCCTTTGGCCTGATTCTTCATGTGTGTGTGTGTGTGTGTGTGTGTGTGTGTGTGTGTGTTTTCAGAGATTGGAAACGGAAGTGACCAATGAAGAGACTTGTGGGTAAATCGCTCCTGGTCTAACAATATTTAGGAGAAACTTGAGAAAAGTGAAATCACTTTTATTTTCTGGTACAAGCTAAAAGCTACGACCACCTCAGCTTACAGCTTATGTTCTGTGAAACTCGCAGCGTCATAGGGTCAATTAGCTGTGGCATCCATCTTGAATCAGGTTGACTCCATATGGTAATTAGTTGTGTGGCACGGTGGCACGGTTGGTAGAGCTGCCGCCTCTCGGTGAGAAGGTCACCGGGTCGAATCCCAGCCGGGAACCTTTCTGGGTGGAGTTTGCATGTTCTCTCCGTGCATGTGTGGGTTTCCTCCCACAGACCAAAAACATGCATGTTAGGCTGATTGGTAACTCTAAACTGTCCCTAGGTGAGAGAGAGACTGAATAGTTGTTTGTCTTGTTTGTCTCTGTGTCCCTGTGATGGACTGGAGACCTGTCCCGGGTGTCCCCCGTCTCTCACACAGTGATGGCTGGACATGGGCACCAGTGACCCCTGTGACCTGAAAAGGAAGAAGCGGGTAAAGAAGATGGATGGATGGATGGATGGATGGATGGATGGATGGTAAAGAGTTGTAGATGAACGTCCAGTGATTACTTTCTGGTGACATTAATTTCAAATAGTTTTTAATTTAGCTAACATACAGGAAAAAAAACACAAACATGCACACACTGATAATTAAACAAAGGTTAAATAAGATATAGATAAATAAATAAAGGTTAAAGTTAGATTAAGGTTAATAAATTACATGATCGCCTGCATTTTATGGCTGATTATGATTATGAGCTTGTGTCTTTAGTGTAAAATGCTTAAATAATTTCTTTTCTGTAACAGATACAACAATAACTAGCTAAATAATAATAATAATAGCTAAAATCTAAATGTAGCGAAGTGCTAGCTAAAAAGAAAAGAAGGTTAGCTAAAAGTACTGAAAAACTAGTGGGAAGCAAAAAGTTGCTAGATGCTAACTAAAACGTGCCGTAAATGCATCAAAAGGCTAGCTAAAAGGTGAAGTAGTGAAGTTTAGGCACAAATATCAAACGGCTAGTGAAAAGCTAGAAGAGGCAAAAGCTAAAAGTCAAAGAAGTAAAGGTGAAACGAAAGTATCAAACGGCTAGCGTGAAGCTAAAACTAGCTGAACGTCATTCACGCGGATGTTTAGTCCAGTTTTCTGTAAATGAGTTCAGCTGTTTGTGTTTTGACTCTGCAGGGCGACGACCAACAACAAGGTGAAGGAGACCGTGGCTCTGGAGCTCAGCTTCGTCAACTCCAACCTGCAGCTCCTCAAAGAGGAGCTGGAGGAGCTCAACAGCAACATGGAGGTCTATCAGACAGACAGGTACGTGCACGTGCACACACACGCATCATGGTCTGTTTGGCTCGTGCATTCTAGGTCACCCTCATTAAAACTAATGAGAATAACTGATGAAAACAATGACCCGTTGATTTTCTGCGTTCGTGCTCTGCTCCTCGGTCCACGAGGACTTGTTTGTGTTTTAAAACGTCACAATCATCTTCTACTTTTAGGAAATATTTATTCCAGTTTATATTTAAGCTGCAGTAAAAGTTTTCAGAAGTACAGAGATGAAATTACGTCGGCAAGTGGATTCCTTTCTCCTGCTGCAGTCGAAGGTCAGGAGCAGGAGAAATCCCCTGATTTGAGTGTCATTAATGACCTCATTGCGTGCACGCATGTGCACTTGTCATGGCATGTGGGAGGGGGTTAAATGGGGAGGGTAAGAGCTAATACTTGGCATTAACGTTGCTTATTAGCAGGATGAAGCAGAGCAGAGTCCCCGCTGGGCTTTAAGCTAAGCAGATGGCAGCGCCGACTTGTCCCACGTTTGAAACCTGCTCCATGTTTATGTGTGTTGGATAACACACGCGTGTTTGTCTTTTTAAACAGCGAGGCCATTAACGTTCCCATGATCCCGCTTGGCCTAAAAGAAACCAAAGAGATGGACTTCACCGGTCCTATCCAGGTGAGGACAGGATCCTAATAATTTTGGGGGGACGGTGAAGCTCGTGATTGATTTCATATCAAAGATGCAGTTTGTTGACGGTTTTCAAACCTGCCAGATGTTTGTTTCTCAGAACCAGAGGGTCTAAACATGTTGCAGCCGGTCAAACTAACCAAGTTAAACCACACAGAACCGGTCTTATTGGACATCTCTGTTAATGCTCGCCTGTAGCTCTGAGGGCACTTATTGGTCCAAGCAAAGGGTTTAACCAGAAATTATTAGCAATAATACAGATGACGGGGCTGGATTATCATTACATTGAATAATTTCCAGCTCAGGCTGTTTCTATTATAGATATGGAGTTATAAACAGTAAAGGAAAAGCAACTTGTAGAAATAATAATTAAATGAATACGTATAATTTTAAGGTACTTGCAGCCAGTTTTGGAAGAAGCATAAATAGTTTTATTGTCTGTTTTTCCTTTTATCGGGTCTAAAAGTCACAAAGTGTAAATTATTTGTACTTCGCTGGAAGTTGTATAATTTAAAAAGTAATTTTTATTTTCCTTTTTACAACTTGGTTTGTCGCCCCCTACTGGCTACTAGGAGGAAGTAAAAAAATACTTTTTATTTTTATTTTTATAAAAGAATAGAATAGGATTGAATAGAAATAACCTTTGTTGTCCTTCAGCTGGGAAATTCAGGTGTAGCAGCAGCAAAGTGACAGGTAAACCAAACAAGGCAGGTTCACACAAACGTAGAAAATGTAAAAACCAGAAAATGAACGAGTGTAAAGTATGGGCATATTTACAACGCAAGAAAAAAAAAACAGAAAAAATGCGGTGCAGTTATTAAAAATAGCACGCAAGATTCAAGATGGGAACTGAGTGGGATCATTTAAAGAATGTACAACATGCGCACGTGTGTTTTTGCACGTAAAAGGAAGTGCATGAAGCAGGGATGTAAACACTTATTGAGTTTGTTGTGATCGGTGATGGTTCGAAGTCTGACAGCTGCTGGGATGAAGGGCCTGCGGTAACATGATGCATGCATCAGGAGACCTACGATAACGCACCTCGGACGCAGCAGTCCCAGAACTGGAGCTCCAGTTCTGGGACTGCTTCATGCAGGACCTGGGACACATTGTCCAACATGGGGTGGGACACATTGTCCAGCAGTGTTATCGTTGCCAGAGTTCTGTCTCCCACCACCTGCACCGAGTCGAGTTCCTGATGTGTTGATCTAAACCTTACATCCACAAAAGCTTTCCACTCCTTTTCTTACAAACTGTGGTGAACAAGCACAAAACAAGTGTTTCAAGTGGAAGTCCTGTCAAATAATCATTAATTATATTTATTTTCTGTTTTGTCTGGTAGGATTTCATCTGTGAGCACTATGGAGAGGACAGCAGTCTGTTTGGCAGGGAGGTCCTGGAGCTTACAGAGCTCAGACAGGTTAATAAAAACTCATATTCTCAACAGCAGACCTCCTGGATCAGTGAAGGTTGAAGAGTCTGAGTCCCCCTGCAGCAGATCCAGAACAATCTTTGACTTCTTGAAACTGGTTGTAATAACGTACGTGCGTTACATTTTCGTCTGGTTGGTCATCAGGCGATGCGCACGCCCAGTCGAAACCAGGCGGGCCTGGAGCTGCTGATGGAGTACTACAACCAGCTGTACTATCTGGACCAGCGCTTCTTCTCTGCTCACAAGAACCTGGGGGTGCACTTCCACTGGTATGACTATTATCGTTTTCTTCACTTCAGGTGGAGGAGTTTTAAGTTTCTGGGCGTCTTGTCCCTGAGTGATGGTAGGATGGAGCAGGAAATGGATCGACGGGCAGTAGTGAGGGCGTTGCTTTGGTCAGTCGCGGTGAATAAAGAGTAGAGCAGAAAGTCAGAGCTTTGGATTTACTGGTCTGTTGATGTTCCAATCCTCACAGGTTTGGATCATGGAGAGATCCTGGATCCAAGCAATTTAACTTCCTTCGCAGAGTGAGGGGGCTCAGCCTTAAGAGATAGGGAGAGGAGCTCCATCATCTGGGGGGGGGGGGGGCTTGGAGCAGAGCCGCTGCACCTCTGCATCAAAAGGAGTCAGCTGAGGTGGTTCATCTGATCAGGATGCCTCCTAGTCGCCTCCCTTTGGAAGCTTTCTGGGCACGTTCCTCTGGGATAAGGCCCTGGAGCAGACCCAGAACTCTCTGGATAGATTATTTATCCTCTGGTCTGGGAACACTCTGGGGTCCCCCAGGAGGAGCAGGGGAGTATCTCTGGGGAGAGGGAAGTCTGGGTTACCTCCTGGACCTTTTGCCTCCACGACCCGACCATGGATAAGTGATAGAAGATAGAAAAGTTGGAACGAAGTCATTGTATTAATGTTTAATTTAACGATAAAACAACAGAATGGCAAATCACAACAAAGAATTTGGAGTTCTCTGGATGGGAGAGAACTGTGATGCATTAAAGGGGCGTGGGAAAAGCTAAACTCCAAGTGAATTAAACGCAGACGGTAAAAAATGATCTTTTAAAAGTTCTACTTGATAGTTGTGATGTAGTCATTCCAAGTCTTGCATAAAGAACAGTATGATTTATTGAATGTACACCCAGCCCCAAGTATGTTCCTCGTTACTACACTTTTTATTGTCGGTAACACACGATAAGAGACAAATCACATGGCAAGCACAATAAATAACACTTTTATAAAAAGAGGATTTGATGTGGTTCACGTATGTGAAAACAAGATGGTCTGTATAAACGAGTCTTTACATTTCACCCACGTCTCAGGTACGACTCTCTGACGGGCGTCCCGTCTTCTCAGCGCTCGCTGGCCTTCGAGAAGGGCAGCGTGTTGTTTAACATCGGAGCTCTGTACACGCAGATCGGAGCGCGGCAGGACCGCTGCGTTACCGCCGGCATCGACAGAGCCATAGATGCTTTTCAGCGAGCTGCGGGTTCGGACCTACACACTGGAACACACACCCGAGTTGTTCTCAGGCTCCAAATGTAAAAGGCTGATGGACTTTAAAACAGCCAAACCTGATTAACTTCGTTTATTCAGTGTTATTTATTATTATCAGTCAGCCGTGTGTTTTTAATTATGCAAAGCAAAAAAAAAATCACGATTCGAACAGAATTTCAACAAAACAAACAGTTTCTTCTGTTTCCTGCTTTCAGGTGCGTTTAATTACCTCAAGGAGTATTTCTCCAATGCGCCCAGTCTGGACATGAGCGCACCGTCGCTCGGCATGCTGGTCCAGCTGATGGTGGCTCAGGTGCAGGAGTGTGTGTTTGAACGCATCGCGCTCACCACGCAGGAAACCAGCTTCAGCTCCCAGCTCCACCTGGCGCAAGAAGCTGCGCAGGTGACTTCTTTATTTTTACTCCTTCAGCTCTTTATTTTTACTCCTTTAGCTCTTTATTTTTACTCTTTTAGCTCTTTATTTTTACGCCTTTAGCTCTTTATTTTTACGCCTTTAGCTCTTTATTTTTAC